GTGCAAATGTTGCTCATCAATTTAAAAAGTATTTAGTGAAAGCAGGAAATCTTGTACAATTAAATTGCCTCGTTCTTTTTGTTTCGCGCAATGTACGCGGCATTTCTATTGCATGTTCGTTGTTATTTGAATAGCACATTAGGTTTTCTTTAAATCCTGATAGTGCAGGACACTCATCACTATACAATATGTCTGTATGCCAAGATTCAGTTTCTTCCAAACATGTGCATGATATTGCAAACAGCAGTCATTCCAAATATGACCTTCCACCCTACATGTAATTGGTGTTCTGTGTTTTTCACGCCATTGGATGACATCATCAGAAAGATGAAAAATGATAAATTGGTAGCTATTCATCAAGTGTCCAGTCAGTACTGGTTGACTGTTCCTCCATATGACATCCACAAGTGAGAGCGTTTCAATTATAAAAATTTCCCGGCCACCCAACTCCTGTGAAAACATCCATCAAAACTCACCACTGCAAAATATGACTGAGAAAATATTCAAATAATTATTTACGGCTTTTCCTGTAATTGTTTTCAGAAACACATTAGAGTTAGAGAAAACAATTTATTTTATTTTTAAATAACTATTCTTTCCATGTAGTTATTGATAACATTTGTTCTTAATTGTTTTACAAGAAACACAAATGAAGAAAACGTTCATTTATTTAGATCAAAAGACATTTATTTTAGATATGAGACCATACAGCGTACAGTCATTGCAGAAATCAGAGCCGAAATGATGCAAGCGAACTGGTTTAATGGCATGTCGAGACAGAATCACAGGAGATAAAGTTATACCAGATGCTACGTAACCAACTTAAACATTAAAATACTGCTGGAATTTAGATAAATTGTTCAGATAAGCAAACCTGTAATTTAATTTTGTTACTACTTCTCACTCAAAAAAAGACCACCTCTACTTTGTCTATCATCAATGTCTTGATATTTATAAGATTTTAAGTTGATGATTTCAAAATCGAGACAAAACTCATTTAATGTGTATCTGCAGCAAAGTTTTTTCCTGTCAGTATTTTGTTTTCAACTTTTTATCAGTTGGTAATTACAGAGGAATTTGTCGAACTTCTTCCGTTGACTTTGTTTTGATGAAACTAATTGCTTTTTATCGTAGGCTTCTCGTCTAAATCTTGGCACACAGCTCTTATACTTAAGGAGGAGTATTTGAGGATTTACGAGACTCGTCAAAAAATTAACTGTAAAATCATGGCAGTAAGAGACATTTTATTATGTGTGGAATCAGTATTTGTCATTTCTTGTGTTTTTGTGGGAAAGGTTGATAAAAAGTGTATATTAAGCCATAGATAGTCAAAGAAAAAGTCAAAGGACTGACAAACTCCGAATTTTAGCTGGTAGGAATCATACAAGCTTCCTAATGTGATTTTTATCTCCTATGAATTGCACAGCAGTCAGTATGTATAATTATTTTTGCAGACTAAGTAAATGATATAATGTGTCACACTTTGTACCTGTTACAGGACTTGTGACCACTCTCTTGTACAGGTTCTTATAGAAATAGTAAAGCATTGGTAATCGATCTGTGAAAAGTTTTATATAAAAAAAAACATAGGTGATACTATAAATCACAGTCAATCATGTAGTATACAATCTGAAATCTAAATAAAGGTACCTGTCTGTATACCTGTCTACCTGTCTGTATACCTGTATACCTGTCTGTATACCTGTCTGTATACCTGTATACCTGTCTGTATACCTGTCTTTATACCTGTCTGTATACCTGTATACCTATCTTTATACCTGTCTTTATACCTGTCTAATTACCTGTCTGTGCTTCCATTTTGTTCTCATTTTATTCTATTCTGAAATATTTAACCTTATACAGGAAATGAAACATTTTCAGTATATGAAAAATTCTCAAATATTTTTGCAAGCTTCCATTGTTTACATTTTGTAGCTATTAACAACAATTTAGATGAGCTAGATGCACTTATCAGTATTCCATTTCTGTGATAACTGTGTCATCACTGAACACAACAACATCATTCTGATTTAGTTGTAGATGGGCTTATATGTGACCCTGCACTGTGAACTGAGAGTCTAAACTTCAAATGGCCTTATCAATATTTGACTAGTTTTAACACTGTCCATTACTACACAAACAGAAGCTGGCTGGTGTGCACACATGTAAACAATGGCAAACCTATCACTCTTGCTTTAAGCTCATCAAATATACATTGCTGTATTTTTTTATTACACCTGGTGTTCTAGTCTGGATGGACGCCACTTAATACAGTTGCTTTGTGTTGTTTATATGAAATGAATCGCTATCAGGAGAACTCTCCTGGCACAGAGGTAAAAGTTGGCTATTGATATTCATAGAAAACTGTACCTGAGTCACAGCTGTGTCCACTGACAGCTTTTTCATGTAGTTGTAGATATTTACAAATCTAGTCAATATTGACAATATCTGTCCTGGCTTAAGTCGACTTTGTGATTTTATAATGAATGAGGATATACAAGATTATATTTCAGTTTCTAAAATATTAAATAAAGGAAGCAAGAAAAATGTGTCGTTTTGTCTGTCTCCCAGATTTAATATTTAGGAAATATTGAGTTTGTGGCTTACTGATGTAGATAGTCAAGTACATGGAGATTTGTTGTGGTGGGATTTATACTCTGTCAGTTTATGTACAACGAAACATTCCTTGTCTGAAATTCAATTTGAAGTTAATAATGTTATATATATTCTTTCTCAAATAATAGATTCTTTACAGGTCCTTTTATGTTGCTATAATAAGATGGATTTCTGGATTTACCACTGTTTGGGTAAATATTGAAGACATTTATGTAGCCCTAGCTAGTTCATTGTGATTTTTATTGGGAGACAAGAACATATTTCATGGCATTCCCAGAATAGCTTTGTTAAAATAAAGCTCTTAAATAAATTCCTTTTAAAAATCTGTCAGAGCCTTCAAATTTTAAATAATTTTATCCTTGATTAGAAAAAGAACTCCAACAAACAGAAACCTTAAGATATTCCTACATAAACAGGTGTTGTGCAACCATAAATCAGTTGTAACACAATTTTGTTGCAGTGGCATTACCACAAAGTCACACATTTCTAAAGGATGATGCTGAGGAGAATATCCAAGCATAATCGTTTTACTTGGCTGTTGTCAAAATGTGATCACTTTACATATAACTTACACCAGAAGATCAATCCATTTGTCATAGTGTAGAACCCCCAGGAGTCTCCTTATGGCCACCCAATGCAGTGTAGACTGACACCTGGTGGCTAATCCTGGAATCATTCTAACGTTCAATCATCATTTCCTGTCGTTCTGCTCTGATTTAACTCGGTCATAGAGTTGAACATGAAATTGTTGATCAACCAACTACAGTTGTCATGGAAGTTGTCTTATTTGTCAGCTCTACTGATTTGAGGAATCAAAAATGTTTGACAGCGCTGTGTTTAGAACAATATCTGATAATTATATTAAAGTACCACAATCACACTGATAATGAAGATTTTCAATACAATGAATATCAGTGTTGCTGATTTTGTCTTTCATTGTACATCAATGACAAAACTGTTCTTGCTAGGGCCATGTTTCATCTGTACCAGAAAAACATTAGTAAGAACCATATGAAATCTGAATGTTGTTAGTGTTCCTGTCCAGAATGACTTGGAGGGCTCAGGTCATTTTATGTTCTGTCCACCCTTAACCTGATTGGTTTATTTTTCTCAGTTAGAATGCAGTGGGAACTCCTGAGGGAGTTAGTCTGATGGGATGTGTTGTAGTTTGAGATTAACAGCTGATAGAGGACCAACTCCCTGGATATAGAATTTAGCACAAAAACAGTAATATAGTTGACAACCTATTGGTTATTTGTAAACACAGTAAAAAATGTGTATTGTCATCTCCGACTCCTGAGCAAAAAGTGGCCAAAAAAATATAGAACTTTGTAAACTAAAGAGGAAACCAAAATGCTATTCAGTTTTATACAAAATAAGAATGATACATCAGTCACTCATTGTAATTGAGTTTGCTTTAAATTTGCCTATATCCTAAAATTAAAGTGAGAATCTTTACTCCAGTAATTGTACTTCTCTTTCTGGTAATCAATATATATTGCTTTGTTAAAGTTATAGTACTAGACAGATATGTTAGTACAGTTATAGTACTAGACAGATATGTTAGTACAGTTATAGTACTAGACAGATATGTTAGTTACAGTATATACAGTTATAGTACTAGTTACAGATATGTATGTTAGTACAGTTATAGTACTAGACAGTTAGTACAGTGTTAGATACAGTTATAGTACTAGACAGATATGTTAGTACAGTTATAGTACTAGACAGATATGTTAGTACAGTTATAGTACAGTTATAGACAGATATGTTAGTACAGTTATAGTACTAGACAGATATGTTAGTACAGTTATAGTACTAGACAGATATGTTAGTACAGTTATAGTACTAGACAGATATGTTAGTACAGTTATAGTTATATGTTACAGTTATAGACAGATATGTTAGTACAGTTATAGTACTAGACAGATATGTTAGTACAGTTATAGTACTATGTTACAGATATGTTAGTACAGTTATAGTACTAGACAGATATGTTAGTACAGTTATAGTACTAGACAGATATGTTAGTACAGTTATAGTACAGATATGTTAGTACAGTTATAGTACTAGTATGTTAGTACAGTTATAGACAGATATGTTAGTACAGTTATAGTACTAGACAGATATGTTAGTACAGTTATAGTACTAGACAGATATGTTAGTACAGTTATAGTACTAGACAGATATGTTAGTACAGTTATAGTACTAGACAGATATGTTAGTACAGTTATAGTACTAGACAGATATGTTAGTACAGTTATAGTACTAGACAGATATGTTAGTACAGTTATAGTACTAGACAGATATGTTAGTACAGTTATAGTACTAGACAGATATGTTAGTACAGTATTATAAGATTTTTTTTATGTTGTGTTTTACAGATCTACAAAATCGAGGTGAAGGACTGTAGCCAGTATAAAACATGTGACACTTGTCTAGGTACCAGGGATCCATACTGTGGCTGGTGTTCTCTGGAGGACAAGTAAGTATAGTCACACACCCTCATAGTACATACATATCATATTAAATAGACCTATTGATCCTTCCCCCAACCCCCCCCAACCCCCCCAAGAAAAATATTTTTCTGGTATTTTAAGTCTTAAATATGAAATTCTAATACAGAGTTCCAAAATGTACACAGTACTTCAGTTTGTTAAAGCAAACGTTACTTAAAGCAAATGTAAGTAACGGCTTACAAATGTGAGTTGTTGGTAGCCCTTTTTACTGAACCTGTGATGTGTGTGACTTGAGAGATATGGATAATGACATTTTATCATTTTCTTTCTATAGTTGTTAGAATCTGTGATGTTGTAGTGTGTTGGACTAATGAATGCAGACAACAGGGTAGCAAACTGTTATTCTTGTTCACTGCAAATTATTGTACAGTTGATTTACCAACATGGTTCTGTTTTTCAAATTAGTATGAATAATGCATTCTCCAGAGACTTCTGAAGAAAACTGTAGTTGGAAAAAAATTCAAGTAAAACAAATTAGGAAGAAAGGGTATGAATACCAGGACCTGCAAGAAGAGATTATAATCTAGTAGATATTTGAGAAACAAATTCATGGAAACTGTTAATCATTGAATGTATTCTTAAATACCCTGACTCCAATTTCATGAATCTTTTTGATTTTAAGGACTTTTCCGTGACTTAAAATTGCCTTAAGGAAAGCATTTTGTAAGTTCAGAAATTTCTTCCCTGAAGACCTAACATATTTATCTCCCTTTGCATAGCATTAAGGAATGCAGTATTATACTGAAGTGACAAAAGGAAGTGTGAAGTAGATCATTATACCAGTAAAGATATAACGTTTAAAAAAATCCAGGAAAATTGGTATGGAATAGTGGTACATACTTATCACTGTCAAGTTTAGCCTGTCTCTGACCCTGTCCATGTCTTCTAAATGTTCATATCTTGAAGGTCTTTACGTTTTACAAATTAGAGATTGATCTGACTTCCTTTTTGTTGATATTGTGATCTAGGAATCGGCAGCATGTGCCCTTATTATAATGTTAATTCTGAAGACAAATCCGGTAGCACTATCTTGTCTTGGTGCTCACCTGCTTTGAGGAGTTGTGTGATAATTACACCAGAACCAAGACAAGACATTTTACTTTCCGGCAACAGCTTCTATTTTATGGCTTTCAATGGAAGCAACAAATGTTGGAAGCCTCTGGAGCGTTGATCATAGGCACAGTTCCTCTAGAATTAATTACTGTCATTGGGAATTGGCCCCTTTTATCTCCCCTCACTTGATCAAATGAATTTTCCCATTTAGAATGAGTGTAATTATGATGGATATTTTTCTCATAATTTCTCGCTATGCCTGGTGTGTACGATGAATTTCCTGTCCGTTTACGGAAATGTTACACACATTTCCTTTCCCTACATCCATCAAAAAACTCTTTCCTAGGTCGGTTGACGGAGGTAGACTTCTTGTGATTTTCTTCAAACATTATTGGGATGATGTGTCATTTATAGTCAAAAGAAAAGCACTGGGTAGATCATCGTGAATGCCATTAATAACAGAGACTATTTGTCATGGCATGATAGAATTAGCGCTCAACAGGAGACAAGCCAGATCGAGCAGATAGAAATACTGAGGTGAAATATAATGAAAATTCAAGACATTAATTCTGAAAACAAATACAGTTGGTCAGATATATGAAGATTTAGAATTTCATTTATCACTGGAAAGTTATTAGTACAGAGGAAGTTGTAACTCACTGCTGGTTCAATGCTATAATGTTATAGGGAATCTGGGGTTATCTCCGTTAAGTGCACACTCTTTTAAACGTGAATCATTCAAATCATAAGAGACTACATGTATGCACTTAAACACTATCTCTAGGTGTCTGGATATCACTGATAGGCACTACAATGATATTGGATCAGAGTGATTATGTCTTTTGTAGATTTAAATCTTTGGCTAGTCCAGTCGTTTTTCATCTTCATCTCTAACTTGTTTGATGGCATGCCAATTCATCATACAGCTTTGAATGCTTTCAATAAGAGAAACTGTCAAGATTCATCTTAAGATTCTACAATGGATAAAGTCTTCTGGGCGAAAATTTGATATTTTTGATTCAAAACTTGGATAAGGAATTGTGATGTGACTTTGTACTAAACTGAAGCTGAGGCCATCATTTTGAGGTGGATTGTCTGGGTCCAGACAACTATAATGTTTTCTATGGTCCTGACAACAGTAGAGATTCTTGTGTTTTCTGTGGTCCTGACAACACTAGAGATTCTTGTGTTTTCTGTGGTCCTGACAACACTAGAGATTCTTGTGTTTTCTGTGGTCCTGACAACACTAGAGATTCTGGTGTTTTCTGTGGTCCTGACAACAGTAGAGATTTTTGTGTTTTTTATGGTCCTGACAACAGTAGAGATTCTGGTGTTTTCTGTGGTCCTGACAACATTAGAGATTCTTGTGTTTTCTGTGGTCCTGACAACACTAGAGATTCTGGTGTTTTCTATGGTCCTGACAACACTAGAGATTCTGGTGTTTTCTGTGGTCCTGACAACACTAGAGATTCTTGTGTTTTCTGTGGTCCTGACAACAGTAGAGATTCTTGTGTTTTCTGTGGTCCTGACAACACTAGAGATTCTTGTGTTTTCTGTGGTCCTGACAACACTAGAGATTCTGGTGTTTTCTAGCATCCAGACAACACTAGAGATTCTTGTGTTTTCTGTGGTCCTGACAACACTAGAGATTCTGGTGTTTTCTGTGGTCCTGACAACACTAGAGATTCTTGTGTTTTCTGTGGTCCTGACAACAGTAGAGATTCTTGTGTTTTTTATGGTCCTGACAACACTAGAGATTCTTGTGTTTTCTGTGGTCCTGACAACACTGGAGATTCTTGTGTTTTCTGTGGTCCTGACAACACTAGAGATTCTGGTGTTTTCTGTGGTCCTGACAACACTGGAGATTCTTGTGTTTTCTGTGGTCCTGACAACACTAGAGATTCTTGTGTTTTCTGTGGTCCTGACAACACTAGAGATTCTTGTGTTTTCTGTGGTCCTGACAACACTAGAGATTCTTGTGTTTTCTGTGGTCCTGACAACACTAGAGATTTTTGTGTTTTTTATGGTCCTGACAACACTAGAGATTCTTGTGTTTTTTATGGTCCTGACAACACTAGATATTCTTGTGTTTTCTGTGGTCCTGACAACACTAGAGATTCTTGTGTTTTTTATGGTCCTGACAACACTAGAGATTCTTGTGTTTTCTGTGGTCCTGACAACACTAGAGATTCTGGTGTTTTCTGTGGTCCTGACAACACTAGAGATTCTGGTGTTTTCTGTGGTCCTGACAACACTAGAGATTCTTGTGTTTTCTGTGGTCCTGACAACACTAGAGATTTTTGTGTTTTTTATGGTCCTGACAACACTAGAGATTCTTGTGTTTTCTGTGGTCCTGACAACACTAGAGATTCTTGTGTTTTCTGTGGTCCTGACAACACTAGAGATTCTTGTGTTTTTTATGGTCCTGACAACACTAGAGATTCTGGTGTTTTCTGTGGTCCTGACAACACTAGAGATTCTGGTGTTTTCTGTGGTCCTGACAACACTAGAGATTCTTGTGTTTTCTGTGGTCCTGACAACACTAGAGATTCTGGTGTTTTCTGTGGTCCTGACAACACTAGAGATTCTGGTGTTTTCTGTGGTCCTGACAACACTAGAGATTCTGGGGTTTTCTAGAGTCTAGATGACAATGGAGATTGTTGTGTTTTCTGGGGTCAGACAACTATAGATATACCAGTGTTCTTTAGGCCAGACAAAACATCTTCACATTGATAAATTAGTGTGAGAGGAATCTTACTGTTGGTGAAAACCTGAGTACTTGAAGAAAAATCGTGTTTGGCCAGGCTACCTCATACTTTTTTGTGTCCACTTGGGGAATTGAACCCTGGACACGTTGATGAAAAACAATTTCATTATCACTGTGCCATACAGTTCATTTGTCTGGCAGGTACCCATGGCAGTGTTATTATAATGAACAGCTGCTAAATTGAGTTTCTGTCCCCTGAATGAAACACTTTTATAAAAATTGTTGCTGAATTGTAGCTCAATATTACTGTGTTAATTAGTTGTCATGCAGCATTACATTTAGCAGTATATAGAATACATTTTTCTATAAGTTATTTGCTGTATATTCAATTTCATGCTATTCTTAATCAACTGCAAACATAGTAAAATTTAATTTGCTGTAAATATTAACAGCTCTACAGTACTTGGTGCTTCTATTCAACATGCTGTGTTAGATGGGTTGTTTACTTTGACTGGATGAGATTAATATACTACTTTACACTTGGTTATATTTGTAGAAGATTAAATTTTGTAGTTTCAAAAAATGTTAAGGTAAATACCAGAAAATATTTTTACGAAGAATCGAAATCGTAGAAAATATCTTTATGCCAGTATACATAGATACAAATTGATAGACAAACGTGAAATGAAATACCTGTAAAGTAGCCCAAACTGGACAACCATGAAATATATGTCCTTCAAAATAAGATAACTAAGCTGTACAGTGTCCAGATTATGACATTTCAGTGTGATAGCACTTTATTAAACAACCTTTAGAAGCACCATCATCTATGGACATTGTCATCAAATGACTGTTATAAGGACATGAACCCCCAGACAAACCAACCACAGTTAGATAACTTCTTTACTCTATCTCTAGCTACATCATTCTAATGTTATTAACTAACTACATCATTCTCAAGACATTAGGTATGGCCAAATCATTCTAACGTTAGTCTTGTTGGAACTTAATGTATCAGTTTAAGTGCAGTGTTGTCTGTGGAAGGTTCTCTTGATCCAGCAGGAACCAGTTTTGAGTTTGTATATGACACCCTAGGTGAAGTCAAATTTTTTAAATGTTTCTAACACGAAAAGAGAAATTAGATTTTTGCTTTAAATTTTCAATAACTAAACCTTACAAAATGCAGACATCCCCGTGGAAAAGTAT